AACTTATTGCCTACCACCCCCTCCCTTATTGCCCACCAACCCCTCTCCCTCACTCCCCCCCCTTTTCTTGGTTCCTTTATTCCCCTTCTCCCCTTCCCTCCCTCATTGCCTACCACCCCCTTCCCCCTCCCTTACTGCCCTCACTCCCTCCCCTTCTCTTTATTTCTTTATTTAATAGTCAATAGTAATGTAAATCTATGTAGTTATATCCAATAAATTGCACCTTTGTCTTGTGAAATTTGCTGAAACATCTTCCAAGTATATTTGTGCTGGATTCAGGATGTAGTTCAAAAATATACCCCAAAGATATATATTTTCAGGATATAGTTGAAAAATATATCTTGGTAATGTATCTTGGTAATATATCCTGGTTCAAGATATAGTCAAAAGATATGTCTTGTGAATATATCCTAGTTCAAGATATAGTTGAAAGATATATACTGGTTCAGGATACAGTTTAAGAATATATCTTGGTTGTGAATGTAGTTGGAAAATGCGAGATATAGTTGAAAAATAGTTGATATATATGTCTTGGTTCAGGATATAATTAAAATATTCATGATACAGTTGTAACTGGATTCAGGATATGGTTAAAATATATATCTTGTTTCAGGATTTAGTAAAAAGATATATATCTGAGAACAACAAAGAACTCTGAGCAGCTAAAAAAAACCTGTAAACTTAAGCAACTCAGGAAACTTGGACTGAATAGCTTCAAGGTAGCACACTTCAAGGTTAGCACAGTGCTGTCTGAATGTCAATTTCAGACATTTTCAATGGTGTGGCATATGTCTGTGTTACACTTGAAACCCTACAGATCAGTCGAGTAACAGAAAGCATGAAGGGAATCATGGAAAATACAAAGAGGAACCCCATATTATGACATGTTGAACAACATTTCTTAGAGGACAATGGGATTTGTTATTTACAATCAAGTGTCAAGAGAAAGGGAGGGAGGGAGAGGAGGAGGAAAAACTTTGTGAACTCTTGTTTATGAAAGTGGGTTGGGAGAGATGATTGATATCACATGCAGAGGTTTGACTGGCAGGGTAGGGTAATATAGATGTTGGTGGGGTATGCAGATAAGGTGCAACTGGAGTTCTCAGAGCTGAAGTGAGCAGTGCCAAACACATGAACAAAGGATATCTTGCAAGCACCATATTTCATATATAAATTTGACAGCTTGGTCTGACATAGGTGCCACGTGGTGAAAAAAAAAACAGAATCATATAGAAACAGCAGAGTAGACTCACCAATCCAGTTGAGCATGCAGATAAGGTGCAACTGGAGATCTTAGAGCTGAAGTAGAGGCAGAGGTGGAGGGGATTGTATTATAAGGCTGCCCAAAGTACTTTGTGAACTCTGAGCAGCTACAAAATTCCATAGTACCAACTGCATCCATAGTGTTGAAGTTGATAATACTTAAGCAACTCAGGAACCTTACTGAATAGCTTCAAGGTGGATCACAGATGTTGCAACTTAGGAAACTTGGAGTGAATAGCTTCAAGATAGCACACTTCAAGAACTTTTTTAGTATCTTCATTTTGTAAAGATGTGGTAGCACAGTGCTGTCTAAATGTCAATTCCAGATGTTTTCGATGGTGTGGCATATGTCTGGGTTACACTTGAAACCATGCAGATCAGTCAAGTAACAGCAAGCATAAAGAGAATCATAGAAAATACAAAGAAGAACCCCACATTATGACATGGTGAACAGAATTTGCTAGAGAACAATGAGATTTACAATCAAAAGTCAAGAGAAAGAGAGAGGGAGAGAGGGAGAGGAGAGAGGGAGAGAGGAAGAGAGGAAAAGTAAGAGAGAAACAACAGAGAACTTTGTGAACTCTGAGCAGCTAAAAGAATCTGTAATGCGAACCATATTCATAGTGTCATTGGAAGTGGATGACACTTAAGTAACTCAGATAGATCACAGATACTATTGATGCTCCTTATTGCTACATACATACTGGGAGCACAGACCAGACATAGTGCCAAAACATCTGGAAGTCATGGCAGAATCTTCCAGAATATATACCCCAGACAGCAAAAAAAATCACAAGTTTTTTGCTGAAACTCGGACCCCTGACACCCCTACAGACCAGAAAAATATATCCTTACCACATCTGTTTCACAAAATATATCCCAAGGCCAAGCCAGGGCAAAAATATATTTCTAAGGTGTGACAGTGACATTTCAGGGTCTACTCACCAAAAATATATCCTTACTGCATTTCACTTGCAAAATATATTTTGGTGGTGTGACACAGACATTATAATTTTTGTGTGACATTTCAGGGTCCACATCTCAAGAATATATTTTAGATTTCAGGGCTTTCTAGGACCCATATATATCTAGAATATAAATGTGGTCCATGACATTTAGTCATGTAACTTACGTGGAGTTTGCATGACTAATAGTCAGTTGGCACTGGGTGACTGAAGTGCAGCAAGTGTAGATAGAACATACCGATGGGGAAGAATGAGAACACCTGAGCACTTTCTGAACAGAATGAGAATGATGTTGGAATCCATTCGGCGTTGACCTTGATATAGCCCACAGACTCGGAATGGGTTTGTGTTGTTGTGCGCACCTGTGGATGCCTGATCTGGGTGTTCGGGAATACCTACGGCTAACCCAGTAACATTTAACCCTCACTGCGGGTATGGGTTTGGGCCACTAAAGCCATGACAATCACTACTGGTAAGCTCAGTATTCGTGTTTAGAAGGGTCACTGAAGTAAATGTCAGATGCTGGAATGACAAAAGGAGATAGGACCAACGTTGGCGCTGTGTGTTACTTCAGGCACTGAAGCCGTCTTTGACATCTGTTTCGCGACGGCACTTGGAGTGTGGCTAGAGGCAGAAAATGAAGAGATTTACAGCTAACTGCATAACCGTAGACCGTCAGCGAATTGGTGAAGTTCCGTTATGACCTTTTATTTCTCACGAGAAATTACTCAGATGATGGCAGATCACAATCCCTCACAATCCATTGTAATCCTTGTGTGCTCCTCGTGAGGATGGATGGAGAGTATCATAGTCTTGTGGTTGGATAAAACCATATATGTAACTCTTATGTTTAATTATGAGACAGTGTGAAGAGGAAGAATTGGTCAAACCATAGCACTTCTCAGGTGTTCATGAATGGGAACACTTCTCGACAGTATCACAGAGATACAACTCCAGTTGTCAGCTGTTGTCAGTAGATTTTTGACTTTCCGAGCAGAGATGGAGTCATCGGGTAGGTTTGGCTGAGTTCAGAATATTGTGACATGTGACTCATGTTGAAGTTTGCAAATCCGAACTTGTTCCCAACCTTGTAACCACCACCTACTATCGCTCCCCAAGTCTGCGCATACACCTGCTCACCGATGTTGACCACATCGGTGAGTTGGTGTATGTGCCGGTCTAGTCTGGCCTTACCCTCTTGTGAGTCCTGCCTTCCCTGACCGAAAGTCCATCTCCTAATAAATCGCATTTGAGCAGGCCGCACTCTCAGAGGCCGTGTCTGTTCTCATCCATGGTACATGCTGCGGGAACCTTACTGCTGGTCAAACCGACCTTGTCGTCAGTGTTGGTGCCATCTACCTTCTCGCTCATGCCATCTACCTTCTCGCTCGTGCCATCGCCCAATCTCCATCATCGTTGCCATCGACATCAACCAACCACGGCTTGACTTTGCGAAAGACAATGGCTTGCCTCCCAGGTCTTCTCCCTCCCTATGGCCGATCAAGCCGTGACTTTGGGTGAACAACTTTGTCGCACAAAGGAGACCGCGCATTCTGCATTTGAGTTCTATCCATTCTCTTTAGGTATGCAGGCATTTACAGTTGTTCGTGGTCATTAGTCCTTGTTTTATTTTGTAACACAATACATATGTTTCAATTCTACGAACCATAAAATTGAAAGGAATGAATGTCTGAACAGTCCAGAATCCCTCATAAGCAATCAAAACAGATCATAACGTCGCAAAAGAATTTATGATAGCACAAGATTGTAAAATCTTGCTCTAAATTGTGAGAGATTGCCTAAAAACGCAGCGATGATGAGGCCTCATTAGACGTTGTGAGGGGGATTGAAATCTTATTGTAAATTGTGATGATTGTGGTGGATTGTGATCAATTTTGGACCTTATGATGGCTCAGGGTATTTCCCCTGATTTGCTGATGACCATATCTAAATTTTTCTTTGTGCACCTTTATTTGTACAAACAACTGTATTAGGTAGAACACCCTTCCAAGTTCACAGGTTCCAACCGCTCCACTCTTATGACGTGTGGGGCGGGATTGGAGCATTTGGAGCAACTACCGAAATGGTGCTAGAACGTGGAGCATTTGGAGCAACTACCGAAATGGTGCTAGAACGTGGAGCAATGGGCAGCGCATGCGAATGGGCGTCATGGTTTACATACAGTCATCCACCTGCTAATGATACACCCAAAATGAGAAATTAACTTCAACAAATTTGAGCACAACATTTCGCTACAAAAACTACATGAAGATCTCAGATAAATGCCCTTCTATGACCATACCAAATTTCAGAATATTTGACCCACACTTCACAGAGAAAAACTAAGATTATGGGTGTATCATTGAGTGGTCACTTCAGGCAACCACCTAACCCTACCCTCTTAGGGTAGTTAGTCCATGCCAGTAAGACTACCCTATGAGGGCCCAATACCATGGTATGTCCTACCTATTCCTTGGAGTCCCCTGGGGGTAGCCAGGTACTCCCATGGTATTTACCTGGACTTCCATGGTTGGCTTCCCCCATCCTTGGGAGTCCCAGGCCTGTGGGAGTCCTGAAGATATATTGCATGGGATTCCCTCACCCAAGGGAATCCCATCCAAATTTATTTTGTTATACTGGAACTCCCAAGCAATATACACAAATCCAGGTTCCAAATAGACTTCACTTAAAAGATAGCAAGCCAACAAGTCAAGTGGTACTTACTCATGAATCTGGCAATTATGCTATAGAGAGAAATAATATCACTGCAAAGATAGATCTTCTTGGCTCAAGCTAAACTCATACAAAAATTTTAGCTCTATGCTTAGTTCATTCACCTGCAGTGTCCAATCCTGATGAGCTGAATGGCTGGAAATCAAGTGGAAGGTTTGGAATGTTCAATTAATATGGACACCAAACCAATTTATTTACATGGATGAGAAAGTTAGTGTCCACCTGGATTGAATTCCATCAAGGAAATCAGCTGGTAACATATCTTAATAAGTCTTATAATTATCATGTAGAACTTTTAAAGGGTTGGATGGAAGGCCCACCAAGGCAATTGATAGCACCCCTATGTAGAGATATATCTGCAAGGGCTATCAGAACATCTGTGGGATTTCCAGCATGATCTGCACAGGAATCCCATTGCCTTTTGCTGGGAAGACCATGGATCTCCTGGGACTCCCAGAGAGGAAGTTGAATATCTATAGGACTTCCTGAAGTACCTCAAAATCTAACATGGGAGTCCCAAAGCCTGCCTGGGACTCCCAGAGAGGGAGTTGTGGACTTCCAAAGTCCCTCAAGATCTAACATGGGACTCCCAGGGATACTATCATTGGACTCCCAAAGCCTGCCTGGGACTCCCAGAGAGGGAGTTGAATATCCATAGGACTTCCAAAGTCCCTCAAGATCTAACATGGGACTCCCAAGGATACTATCATTGGACTCCCAAAGCCTGCCTGGGACTCCCAGAGAGGCAGTTGAATATCTGTAGGACTTCCAAAGTCCCTCAAGATCTAACATGGGACTCCCAGGGATACTATCATTGGACTCCCAAAGCCTGCCTGGGACTCCCAGAGAGGCAGTTGAATATTCATAGGACTTCCAGAAGTCCCTCAAGATCTAACATGGGAGTCCCAAAGCATTTGCTCAGACATCCATGGAAAAAAGAGAACTGAGGGTGGACTCCCACAAATAGAAACAGGAAGTTCTAACATAATAAGTTGCAGACAACATCAGACTAACTATCAAAATCCTCCCCACGGAAAGCATCTGCAAGGTCAATAGCCTCAAGAGTATCAATCAAATCCTCATCGAGACTTTCTACATCTGACAAATTCAGTTCGTCGACCCCGATGGATGGTCTGAACTCCTCCATATCATCGTAGTCATCATACAAACGTGAGGTGACTTGGGCGATTCGAGCAGCTGTGATCTCGTCATCTGTTGGGCCCCAGGCTGGAATAACAGTGTCAGCAGGTAAGGATTGTAAGGACTTCTTCCATATCGACAGGACATGGAGAAGTTCATCCTTTCGTAATTGGAGTTGATAGCGTAACTCCAGTGAATCTAAAACATGATGAGAAGCTACACAAAGGGGTCAAATAGCAAAACGTACCAGTGTTATCATATGCGGAACAGGTGACATTCCACTCCTCTGAATACCAGATTTGTAGTATCTTATGTTCATGTTTAATGTGCTCTTCCTCTTCAATGCATCTATCAAGCTCTAATCGCGCACGAATTCCGGACCTTACAAGATCGTCGCAAAGCCACAGTGGTGGGTCGGTCGTGGCGCCATCAAGTGAATCTTCCAATCCAGCATCCTGCCAGATTTCGTCGTTAACGTCCAGAGCAAACAGACCCTTCATGACAATCTTCGACGGGCAGACTGAGCCCGGAGGCGCCTTGCACTGAGCTTTTAACTGTAGCATTACATCGCATAAGTTGTTGTAGTCACAAGTGAGTTTTTGGATGCTAGGGTCACGACGCTTCACGGAATCTTCGAGATGATGGTGAACTTTGCACTCTGTTTTGTGGTACTAAGTAAACGCGGGGTGCAGAATGTTGAAAAGACATACCGTTGACATGGTTGCGATATGATTGTTCGATACGGTCAAGTTCAAACTTCCAGGAGCACAGCCTTTCACACAAGCATAGCTTGAGGGCTCGGGTGTTCATCCTCGCTGCAATAAAAGGGCTTCCGAGCAGCTTCCCAAGCTTGGTTCTTTCGTGAACACCAAGCGCCGACTCAGAAGCGTGTACCCAAGACTCCGCAGAACTCAAAGCCTTCTTAGCTTCAGCTAGGCACAATTCTGCATCACAAAGATGATAGTCTGAAGCTAAAGGATCCAATATGATGTTTTCTTGGTCTTGGACATGCTTCCTCAGGATATCACGTGCTTTTCGAAGTCGGATGGCTTCAGAGACTGCATCTTTCCCCTGGTTTCTTGTCTGTCCTGGAAAAACTATTAACGCTTGAAGTTGCATGTTAACATTGAACGTACGTGGAAGAGGTTTGGTCTGAGCCTGTACCTGCGCAGACCATTCATCCCGGAGGACACATTCTGCGAGCACCACTTCAGCAAGGTGTCGCTTTTCTTGACAATGACGAGATCAGCAAAGCAACCAGAAAGCCAGGCGACCAAGGGTTTCCTTATCTGCTTGTTGAACCTGTCAATCGAGAGTGTAAACGCGTTGATGTGACTATACAAGATACTAATGAGATGATATATTTTCCCAGATTAATAAAGACTTACCTCACACACGCGTAGATAAGCAATTAATTTCTTGATAGAATTCCAAAACCGCTTGCAGCCTTCGCCGTCGGAGAGTCCAAATCTGTTGCACTTTCGAGGATGGTATATGATCTGACAAGGCCACTGATGTCCGAACACATGAAACACTGAAATAGCAAAGATCAAGCAGTGGAGGTATGCACTAAGAAAACCCCAGTTGACGCAGCTTTTATGTAGCTGACAGCCAACATCGTAAAGTAACCCGACTGTATAATGGAGGGGCAGGTGTTGAAACAGCGTCTCAACGAGCGCCAGAGCATAATGCTGCTTCTCGCCTGCAGATCGCATATTGACGACCCATATCACACAGTCATGGCGACAGAGAAGAGCCATCAGTGCGGTGACGGCAAAAAACTGTGTGCTAGCCTTTTCACATGTTTCATTTGTGGCTGTGAAGCTCTTCTCGCAGCCGGCTAAGACAGATCGTGGAACCTTCAGTGCACCATCATAGCCATCTTCTTTGTCCGAATCAGGGTGGTTCCTACTAGTATCAACAGGCTTTTGGCGCTTCGCACCCTTCTTAGCCTTGTTCGGACGAATGCCCTCAACATATCCTTCCATCTAGTTTCTGCGCAAGCGTGGGCTAAGTTCGTTGCGAAGCTTTATAATCAGGAGCTCAACTCTCTGGGAGAGAACCCTTCGCAGCAAGACATCCATGAGCATTTCAAGGAACAACTCAACTATTATCGCAGTGTTGTTGTGGCATTTTTGGAATCCAAGCGAGACAACGGAAAGTTCCCGCAGGTGATAAAGAAAGTGGTTGAGCCATTTATCAAATTAGTATGTTATTGCTCTCTTAACATCCTATCTCCCTCATACTAACACATGTTTTAGGCCACCCGAGCTTACGAGGAGACTGGGATTCAAGTCTTTGGATTTGCCATTGACGTCAATGCCAATTCAACTTCAAGCTTGGCTTGGGGCGGTAGCCATGAATACGCACCCCTAGCTGTAGTCATTGCCCTACTCACCCACATTATTGCACTTAATGCTTTGCCATTAACCATGCATTCAGGCCAGGGGTCTGCAGCATGCATTGGCACCTGGGTTTGGCCTAGGATTTGTTGGGGCAGGCTTTTGGTAAACATATCAATAGTCTCTTATTTCCCTTCAAACATATAAAAGTAGGCAAAACACAAAGTTCCCATGTTACATAAATATAATTCTTGCTTCTTTATGTCTAAATATATGTCAATAATGCACAGTTCAAATTCTGAGGAGATATATATGTCCTACAGCTTTGTTTCTCCTAGAAAGGACACCTGAAAGTTTACCAAATATCTATTTGATAATGTTCTGACACTCCTAAATATTTTCCCTCTGTCAAATCTGACCGGAATAGGCTGGATGCGACAGATCTGTTTTGGATGACCTTGGGCCTTTGATGCCTTTGGTACACAACTGTCAACAATGCATAGTTTTGATTCTGAAGAGATGTTTATGCTTTACAGCTTTGTTTCTTCTAGAAAGAAAACCTGAAACTTTACCAAATATATATTTGATAATGTCATGACATGCCTAGATAGTTTCCGCCCACCAAATCTGACCAAAATAGCTGGATGCGACAAACCAATTTTGGATGGCTGGGGCCTTTGACGCTGTTGGTACATAAATGTAAACAACGTCGAATTCAACGTGAAAACCTCGGTAGCTACCCTACCACATAACATACAGAGAAAGGAACATTGAAAAGGGTCTAATACAAAAATTACTTGCTAATATACATTCTGAAAACTCCCAACAGCCGCGTGAAAAGAAAATATGCCCTCCAGCCACCCATGCACCCCTCTTCCAGCGATTGGTGCCATCCGCATCCATCGCATACTGTCATGCGCAGTACCTCCACCTTGTCCTTGACACAGTTGAGTCAGATCCTGCATCAACTCGGCCATACCCTCAACACATGTCATCCTGCATCATAGTTACGTTGTCGTCGTCCGGCGTGGTTTTGTTCTGCGTTGTAGTCATGCGTATTGTCGTCCTGCATTGTATTCACCTGGTTGTCATCCTGCATTGTCGTCCTGCATTGTCAGCGTGTCGTCACTGTCGGAGGTGTCATAACACCATCCCGTTTCCAAGTCGTCGTTGTCCAGTGACATCGTCATCTGTCGTCATCGTGTTTTCCGTCATTGTGTTGTCCGTTGTCATTTCGTCGGTCCGCTGTCGTTTCATCGGTCCGCTGTTGGTCCGCTGTCGTTTCGTCGGTCCACTGCCATTTCGTCAGTCCGCTGTCGTGTTGGCTGTGTTGAGTGGGTCCAATGACGACGAATAATGTTTGGTTGCCACATCGCTGGCAGCGACGTGGCATCTGGGATGTGTGTGTGAGTATGGGAATGCGACAGAGGGGACACCGGGAGCTCACCTGGGCTGATAATGGACACTCATCGACCATTATCCGTCCATTGTCGGGCTGGGTGGGTCGAGGGTGTTGTTCGTCGCTTGGTTGCCACGTCGCTGTCAGCGACATGGCACCTGGGTTGTGTGCGTTTAGAGAAGGGAGGGAGGGCTATCGATGGTGGGCGCTCGCTCATCGCCGTCCGTGAGTGATGAGCACCCATGGCCCCTTGTTGACCCAGGTGTTGTCCGTCGTCGTGTTGGTCGTCTATCGTCAGGTCGTGTCGATCCGTGTGGGCGCTCAAACTCATTGTGTTACGTTCCGCCGTGTGGTCGTCGTCCTGGGTTGTAGTTGTTATTGTCTTGTCGATGTGGCTGGGCATTGTGTGTCGTCGTCATCTGCTTGTCGTTCTGTGCTATTCGTGTCTTCGTTCCACGTTGTCGTTGAGTCATCGTCGTGCCGTATCGTTGTCCTCATGTTGTACTCATCCTGTGTTGTTGTTGTGTTGTCGTCCTGTGGCTCCTCGTTGCGTCGTTGTCATTATGTGCATCATCCCGTGGCGTTGTCTCAGCAAGGTAGGTTGAGAGGGACGTGGAAAGGAAAGTGCTTACCTGTTGTCGTTCAACCGGTACTGGTAGTAGTGAAGGTGTTGTGCTGTTGACGTGGCTGCTCAACCAGCCATCAACAGCGCTCGGAAAGTGCCGAGCGCTGAAGGAGCACTGCGCGCACTTGTCGCGCACTCGTTATTGACGGAAAAGAAATACAGAAAAATGTATTTTAAGGTCCTAGGGAATAGTACTAACATTTGAGATAGGTAGCACTATGTCTTTACCAGGCAGGGAGTAAAAGTCAGACGAACTTTAATCTAAAGCTGAGTTTCCGGCACTTTCAGCTGCTTTACTATGACCCTCTGCACCCATTCCCATTACCCGTATCCACACAATCCTCTGATTTCTATGAAAATTTGTGAATCTGTTCGAGTTTTCATTCTGAAGATATCCATGTAATTTTCTTGGCCATTGGATGATTTTTGTGAACACAGTATAGTTTATATCAGACAAAATACACTCTATTCAAGGACTCTCACAACAAATCCTTCATTATCAAGGTGAGTACAGCCCTTAATAATTTCATACTGGTATCCACCTTTAGCTGAGATTATGTGAATTTGACTCCCTGAGTATTAGGCAAGCAGAAAAATGTATGCCAACACAATTGTATGTTTTAAAACCCTCCTGAAAATTGAAAAATGGGAACAAGACTTTCAGGTGTGTTATTTCACTCAAAACTTAACAATGCCTGTCCTAATATTGTTTCACTTATGCTATAGGTGTTAGTGGGCTATAGCTGGCAGGTTTTCAATAATAAATTGCTGGAATGATATGTTTTTTATCTTGAAAAAAAATACTCCTTTCTCTCCAACTTTTAGCCAACTTCTGATGAAAGTGCAAGGTAAAAGTTGTAAAACAATCATGCTAAGATGTATTACCATTGTCAGAGTAATGTTGTCTTCCTCTCCTTGCTCAATTTCAGTTGTATTTCCGGTGTTTTCAATGTGTTTGGGAAGTTTGCATCTATTTGTCTAAAGCTTCAAATGTGTCATCCGAGTTCACTATGTCGCATCCATCTACTTGTGAGGGTGCCATGAATGTGAAACATGAAAGGGCTGTGTTCTACTTGTAGAGCACCAGAATGTTTATGTTTGATTGAAATTTAGGTGTAAAGAATGAATAGCATGCCTCTTGAAGATCTGGCCACAGGGAGGCAACTATTTGCGACTATTTGGCAATGCCTTTACCAATGTCATCCAGCTGGAACTCGAGCCATCCTGGTAGATATGAGTTTACACTACTTGTTACAACTTGTTTTGTAAAAATCGGCCTAGTATTGAGCGAGATATTTGCTAGTCAAAAGTGTATCAAATGGGGGTGGTGTATCATTAAGGGGTGGATGACTGTAGCCACAGCCTAAAACAGATGTTTATGCACAGATAAAGGCGCAAAGTGAAATTTCAGATGTGGTCTATGATTATGCAGTTAGCTGTAATCCCACAGTATTGAAGTGGCTACTCACTCTAAGTCTTCGGATTGTTGTATTTTCCGTCATCGTGCTAGAATTTCAGGTTTATGACTTAAAGATTTCAATGTTGTTAGTCAAAGGCAGGATAAGGGAGTCATACCAGAGGTAGCAACATCCACCTTTTGCTCTGTTCGCTTCTCGTTTGGTGTGGGCTGTGTGATGTAACCATGGTCAACCCATTCAGGTAGAGTGTAAGGTGGTTGTTAAGTGCGAAACTCAAAGCAATCCTCGCAAGTGGTCTGACCTTTACTCTTTTTCCTTCTGGGTCAATTCTAGGTGTTCAAACTGTCGTATTTGTGAGTAAAAACATTCTAGTGGACTTTACAATTGAATTCATGCAATTATTCTGGCAATATATCATCTCAGAATTGTGCTTCGGCAATTCTATATTTTGGAGTTGGGCATCGGTTATTTACACAGCTGAGTTGCCGGATCCTTTAGAACACCGGTGCTTGGAGGGCATCCGTATATTCACTGCGGGCATTGGCTTATATAAATGGCAGATAAATTGTGTAGAAATCAATAGATTTTACACCTTTTCTTGGCCAGATATATTGGGGAAGAAATTTAAAATATTCTCTTCAATACTGTCATGTGACCATTACCAGGTCACTTTAGCTTAAATTGCAGATTGCACGCCTCCCTCTCATTGGGAGCACATAAAATTTTGCAAGTGAGTAGGAGGAAACATATACATATTGTATCTGTAAGTTTTATTCTGGAGAGATGCTTTTGGGTAGTGTTAAAATGCCTTGACCTGTTTGCCCTGAATTGGTCAGCACCCATAAGCCAACCATAAAATATTCTTAGACACCTCATATTCTCCTTATCTGATTCAAAATTTTGTGTGCGAGTTACCAATACCTCCACTGTAAACTCTCAAAAATATTTGTGTCAATAGAGGCTAGCACTGTGGAGAGAAATGGTCATCAATTAGATAGACTTGCTTTGATGGGCAAACTTGGCAAAACAACAATGTGACCATCTTATCTCCCTTATATCTCAGCTCATGCTCAACGTTCTGTCTAATAAATCTCCACACACAGCCGCATCTGCATTGTCAAACTCTGTTTAAAATTTCAAATGCATAGCATGGATCGTTGTGGTGGTATAGCTTGTTGACCTGTTAGTGCTGATGATCAGTTAG